GATCTGTTAACTACCCCCTTAAATACCAAAAAGTCTAAACTTCGAGGCTCTTCAGATGTAAAAAATAAATTCCTACATACATGCCTACTTTTGCAGTCAAAATAATCGAAACAAAGAGAAACAGCTCCGATGTTAAAAAATATATCTTAATCAACTTCTTGACTAACCCCTTAATTAGTTAAAGAAGCTCTATAAACCCATTTTTGAATTCTTAACTAACCCCTTAATTAGTTAAAAGTCAATACTTTGGGTTTTTAGATGTAAAAAATAAATTCCTACATACATGCCTACTTTTGCAGTCAAAATAATCGAAACAAAGAGAAACAGCTCCGATGTTAAAAAATATATCTTAATAAAGTGCCTGATAAAAGGACTACTTTGATAGAGTAGAACATGCGATATAATCGCCTTTATTATAAAGCTTAGTTTACAACTAAGACCTAGGGTTTCAAAGCCCCTTATGCTTAAATACAACACTTTACAAAAAGATAAGCTAAATTAAAGCTTTTAGGTTCATACCCTAAATATAGAAGCACTAAACTTCTTCTTTTTAATTTTTAAATATTCTAATAAAATACTATTTTTTACCATAATAATTTTAGGTTCTTTACTAGTATTAAGATCAAATAATTGATTAAGAATTTGAATAGGGTTAGAAATTAATCTAATATCTTTTATTCCGTTAATACTAAATTCTAAAAACAGATCACTCTCAGAAGGATGTATAATATATTTTTTAATCCAAACTATTAGCTCAATTTTATTATTATTTTCTATTTTAATTAAGCCTGCGCAAATTATTATATTAATAAATATAACTCAAAATATTATTATTGTAAGAATAATGATAAAATTAGGCTTACCTCCATTTCACTATTGATTCGTATTTGTAATAAAAAAAGTAGAATGATATTCCTGCTTAACTCTTATAACCTGACAAAAAATTGCCCCCTTAACAATTTTATCGTACATAGACTTCAATATCATCATTGCATTTATTGCCTCCATTGTAGCAAATATTACTGCCATTAATCAAACAGATTTACGAAAAATTATAGCCCTATCATCTATTAATCATTTAGGATGAATATTAACTTGCATAAAAGAAAGTAACACATGAATAATTTACTTATTATTTTATTCTTTAATGTCAGCATCCTTATTAATCTTTCTTAAAAAAAAGAAAATCCTTTTTATTAATCAAATAAATAAACTAAACAACAATAGTGATAAACTAACTTTATCTATATTAATAATAAGAATAGCAGGATTACCCCCCTTTATTGGGTTTATGCCTAAATGAATAGCAATTCAATATATAATAATAAATATGAATATTTTATTAGCATATCTTATAGTAATAATATCCTTAATTGCAGTATTTTATTATTTACGCATAATTAACGCAACTTTAATGCAAAATTCCTGTAAAAATAAATGAACTTTAAACCAAAGAAAATCATACAGATCACTCATATTAGCATGTAATTTATTATTGCCCATCTCAATTTTTCTAATTAATTAAAGTCTTAAGTTAAAAAAACTATTAACCTTCAAAGTTAAAAACATAAACATATTATAGACTTTAGCTTTACGCAACTTCAAACTTGCAATTTGACATCATAATTTTGACTATAAAATCCTAATAAGAGGCTCATGCCATAGATAAATTTACAATTTATTGCCTTAAATTCAGCCACCTTATTAATGGTTAAGTGAATAATGTCGACCAACCACAAAGACATCGGAACTTTATATTTTTTATTCGGGATATGAGCAGGTATGCTAGGAACATCAATAAGATGAATTATTCGAATTGAACTTAGACAACCTGGCTCATTTATTGGAGATGATCAAATTTATAATGTAATTGTTACTGCTCATGCTTTTGTAATAATTTTTTTCATAGTTATACCAATTATAATTGGGGGATTTGGGAATTGACTAGTGCCATTGATAATTGGCGCACCTGATATAGCATTCCCTCGACTCAATAATATAAGATTTTGACTTTTACCTCCTTCCTTATTACTTTTGTTAGTCAGAAGAACATCAAGAACAGGTGTAGGGACAGGATGGACAGTTTATCCCCCCTTATCGGGTAACATTGCTCACATAGGATATTCTGTTGACTTTGCGATCTTCAGATTACATCTCGCAGGAATAAGATCTATTTTAGGAGCAATCAACTTTATCTCCACTATTTTAAATATACGTCCTGCGGGGATAACCTTAGAACGAACTCCCTTATTTGTATGATCCGTAGGAATCACAGCAATACTACTACTACTTTCTCTACCAGTACTTGCTGGAGCAATCACCATATTATTAACTGATCGTAATTTCAATACTTCATTTTTTGATCCAGTAGGGGGGGGAGATCCTGTACTTTACCAACACTTATTTTGATTTTTCGGACACCCTGAAGTATATATTCTAATTCTACCAGGATTTGGTTTAATTTCACATATTATCAGTAAAGAAAGAGGAAAAAATGAAACCTTTGGTCCTTTAGGCATAATCTATGCTATATCGGCAATCGGGATCCTAGGATTTATTGTTTGAGCACATCACATATTTACAGTAGGAATAGATGTAGACACTCGAGCATATTTCACCTCTGCAACTATAATTATTGCTGTACCAACAGGTATTAAAATTTTCAGATGAATCGCTACACTGTATGGAAGAAAAATGTCATTCTCACCATCTATTATATGAGCAATAGGGTTTGTATTTTTATTTACCATTGGCGGTATAACAGGGGTAATTTTAGCTAATTCATCTATTGATGTAGCATTACATGATACTTATTACGTAGTAGCACATTTCCATTATGTACTTTCAATAGGAGCCGTATTTGCTATTATGGGAAGATTCATTCAATGATTCCCCCTTTTTACAGGATTAACAATAAACCCAAAATGATTAAAAATTCAATTCTTAACCATATTTATCGGTGTAAACATAACCTTCTTCCCGCAACACTTCTTAGGATTAAACGGGATACCGCGTCGATATTCAGACTATCCTGATATATATATATCTTGAAATGTGCTATCATCTCTAGGTAGAACAATCTCAATTATAAGTATTTTCATATTCATAATAATCATCTGAGAGGCTCTTGTATCAAAACGTAAAAGCCTGTTTAATAATAATATACCTTCCAATATTGAATGATTACAACTTTCCCCCCCCAGAGAACACTCTTATAACGAGTTACCAATTATTTGCTCATTCTAATATGGCAGATTAGTGCAATGAACTTAAGATTCATTTATAAAGGCTTACCTTTTATTAGAAATGCCAATCTGAAATTCATATTCATTTCAAGATGCAAACTCTCCCGTTATAGAACAATTAACTTTTTTCCATGATAGCACAATAATAATTCTTACAGCAATTATTACTATTATTTCATATTTACTGATTTACATCACATTTAATAAGCTTACTAATCGATATCTTTTAAATAGACAAAATATTGAACTATTATGAACAATTACGCCAGCAGTAACATTATTATTTATTGCATTGCCTTCATTAAAAATTCTATATCTTATAGACGACATCACTAATCCAATAATAACAATTAAAGCTATTGGGCACCAATGATATTGAAGCTACGAATATTCTGATTTCAAAAATATCGAATTCGAATCTTATATAAAATTGCCTTCAGAAATAAATGAAAACGAATTTCGACTACTAGAAACTAATAATCGTACTATCTTACCAATTCATACTTCAATCCGATTGTTGACTACCTCCACAGACGTGATTCATTCATGAACAGTTCCATCTTTAGGAGTTAAGATTGATGCAATCCCAGGACGATTAAATCAAAGATTAATTATTATTAATCGACCAGGATTAATATATGGACAATGCTCTGAAATCTGTGGAGCAAATCATAGATTTATGCCTATTGTCCTAGAAAGAATCAATATTCAAAGATTCATTAAATGAATAAATTTATACTCATTAAGTGGCTGAAATGTTAAGCAATGGTCTCTTAAACCACTAAATAGTAAACTCACAAATACTCTTAATGAAAGAATTAGTTTCAAAAAAAACAATAACTTGTCAAGTTATAAATACTTAATAGTATTCTTTAATTCCACAAATATCACCAATATGATGAACTACACTAATAACAATCTTTATTTTATGTATATTTATATTTTCAATTAACTTATTCTTTTGTTTTAAAACAAAATTAACTTTTAATAAAAATAAATCCCAAAATAATATAAATTGAAAATGATAGCTAATTTATTCTCTTCATTTGACCCATCAACTAGAATTATTTCGTCATTAAATTGATATAGAACCATCATTGGTCTAATAATAATTCCGCCAATATACTGAACTACGCCTTCACGAATTACTATATTATTTATTTTATTATATTATAAACTATACACAGAATTTAAAATTACAATAAGAAAACCAAATGCCAAAATAAACTTAATAATAATTTCAATATTTATATTCATTTTAACAAATAATATAATAGGGTTATTACCTTATGTATTTACTAGCTCCAGTCATATAGTATATTCACTATCATTGTCATTACCATTATGATTAGCCCTAATAATATACACATGAATTAATTTTACAAACAAAACATTCACACATATACTCCCTAATGGCACTCCTGCCTTACTAATACCGTTTTTAGTATGCATTGAGACAGTAAGAAATATTATTCGACCTATATCCTTAGCAATCCGGCTAACAGCAAATATAATCGCAGGCCACTTATTCATAGTATTATTAGGAAATTTAATTGTTCATAGAGAACATTATATGTTAATTGTAATTACACAAACATTGCTAATAATATTTGAATTATGTGTATCATTTATTCAAGCTTACGTATTCACTACATTAAGCACATTATACATTAAAGAAGTAGCATATGAAACAAGACAAAAACCACCCATATCATATAGTAGATTACAGCCCTTGGCCTTTAACTGGATCAATTGGAGCATTAACATTAACCTTCGGAATAGTTATTTGATTTCATAAAAAAGAAAGAATATTAATAATATTAGGAATAGTTATTATTATTTTAACTATATTTCAATGATGACGAGATATTATTCGAGAAAGAACATATCAAGGACATCATACATTAAAAGTCGCCAAAGGAATTAAAATAGGAATAATCTTATTCATTATCTCAGAAATTTTATTCTTTATATCATTTTTCTGAGCTTTTCTGCATAGAAGAATTGCTCCTTCCATTGAAATCGGGAATAACTGACCCCCTTTAGGGATTAAAACATTTAACCCCATAGAAATCCCATTATTAAATACAATAATCCTATTAAGTTCAGGGGTAAGAGTCACATGAGCCCACCACAGAATTATAGAAAGTAAACATAAACAAACCACAAAAAGTCTAACTATCACTGTAGTATTAGGAATTTATTTCTCGTTATTACAAGGATATGAATATAATCAAGCTGAATTCACTATTGCAGACTCTGTATATGGATCTTGTTTCTTTATGATTACAGGATTCCATGGATTTCATGTTATAGTTGGAACTATTTTCTTAATTGTATGCTTACTACGAAATATAAAAAATCACTTCTCCAAATCACATCATTTAGGATTCGAAGCAGCCTCATGATACTGACACTTCGTAGATGTAGTATGACTATTCGTTTATATTATCATTTATTGATGAGGAAGATAGCTTATTCTTTTAGTATATTAGTATATCTGACTTCCAATCAGAAGGACTTTAATTAGAAAGAATAATAATAATAATTTTAACCACAACTTTCATAGCTTTAACCATTTCAGTACTAATAATAATAATTTGCATTTTTACAAGAAAAAAAAGTATCATAGATCGAGAAAAAATATCACCATTCGAATGTGGATTTGACCCTAAAAGATCACCCCGTATACCATTCTCAATTCAGTTCTTTCTAGTAGCAACATTATTTCTAGTATTTGATGTAGAAATTACCATTATCATTCCTATAATTATTACATTTAAAATATCTTCCACAAGAACATGACTCTTTATAACAACAACATTTATTATCATTTTACTGCTGGGATTATATTACGAATGATATAATAACATACTTGAATGATCCTTCTAGGGAAAGTAGGGAAAGTAGTTAACTATAACATTTAATTTGCAATTAAAAAGTACTATATTGTAGTCTTTCTCATTCAAGTAATGAAGTAAAATTTACATTTAGTTTCGACCTAAAAACAAGAGAACTTATTTCTCCTTACTTTTAATAGAAGCCAAAAAGAGGCAATCTATTGTTAATAGAAAAAATGACAAAATTGTCCTATTAAAAGAGAATGATTGTAACTAAAAGAAGCTGCTAACTATCTTTTAAAGCGGTTAAAATCCGTTTTTCTCTTATTTAAGTAGTTTATAAAAAACATTTCATTTTCAGTGAAAAGAAAATAATAATTCTTAAATATCAAAAGAGATATTAGTCTCATATTAACAACTTCAATGTTATGCTTTAAATTTAAGCTATTTTAATTAAAGAAAGAAAAACAAAGATCTTAAAATAAAAGAAATTAAAATTATCCTAATTCCATTACTATAAAACCCTGAAACATTAACTGAAACCCTGATTAAAAAATGAAAAACCGATCGCGAAACAATATATTCCCCCCAACTACAATCAACATTTGTAAACCAAACCTTAGAAATATAAAATCCAAAACTGCTCAAAAGAAAAGTTCTGAAATATGGCATATAAAGTATAGACCCAAAAAATAAATGAAATAAATAAAAAGAAGAACCCCAATTTATTGAACATATTTTATAAGAAATCAGAATCCCTATTAAAATTAATAAAAAAGGTGCTAACTTAGTATATAAATGCAAACAATAAAATTCAGGAACCGTAAAAATTACTCAACTTAAAAAGCTACCCCCTAAAACGGATATTATAACCATAAATAATATTGAAAAAATTATTGAATTATCCTCAAAGTAACTTTGACAGCAATATAAACTCTCTCTGCCAATAGTATAATAAATTAAACGAACAGAATATGAAACTGTTAACCCTACAGATAAATAATACATTAAAACAATAAAAAAATTGTCGTAATTAAATCTAATAACCTCCAAAATCATATCCTTAGAATAAAACCCTGATATAAAAGGGATACCACATATAGATATACTAGAAATTAAAAACGAAGTATAAGTTCAAGGAATACATTTATAAATACCCCCTATAACACGTAAATCTTGATTATTACCTGCAATATGAATAATTAAGCCTGCACATAAAAATAGTAAAGCCTTAAAAAAAGCATGTATTAATAAATGGAAAAATCTTAAAACAGGATAACCTATAAATAAAACTCCTACTATAAAACCTAATTGACTCAAAGTTGATAAAGCAATTACCCTTTTTAAATCAAATTCAAATATAGCCCCCAACCCAGCAATAAACATCGTTATTGTACCAATATAAACAAAAAATTCGCAATTTAAATTATTAAATAAATATCTAAAACGAATTAATAAATAAACCCCAGCAGTTACTAAGGTAGATGAGTGAACTAAAGCAGAAACAGGAGTTGGGGCCGCTATAGCAGCAGGCAATCAGGAAGAAAACGGAATTTGAGCACTTTTTGTAAAACTAGCTAAAATTACTATCAACAAAACTATCTTTATATTAAAATCTCAAACATTAAAATAAAACAAATAATGTCAACCTCCAAAATTAAATATTCAAGCGACAGCCATTAATAAAGCAGCATCACCAATTCGATTAATTAAAATTGTTAACATGCCCGCATTATAAGACTTAAAATTTTGAAAATAGATAACTAAACCATAAGAAACTAAACCAAGACCATCTCAACCTAAAAGAATTCTAATCAATCTGGGACTTACAATTATAAGTAATATTCTCAAAACAAACAATAAAACCAAATATAAAAATCGAATATTATTGCTATCCTCTGATATATAAGAAAATCTATATAAAATAACCAAAGAAGAAATAATTAAAACAAAAGATATAAATATTAAAGATATTCAATCCAATAATAAAACTGCAGTAAAGCTACACGAATTAAGAGAAAAAATTTCCCAATCTATAAAAATAATATAACCATAATTAACAAAACAAAGTCCTACAACAAATAAACTCAAACCAATCACAAATAAATAAAAAGAACTTAATAAATACAATATCACTTACAGTACAAAAATACGCCCTTAGTTCCACAAACTAATATTCTATGCTAAACTATAATAAGTTATAAAAAAACAAAGAGAAAATCCACCTTAAAAACAAAAAAATTCAAAGGAAACCAATGTATAAAAATTAATAAAAAATCCCGAATTCTAGCACTAGAACTAAAAAACCCACCTTTATAAAAAACCCCATGCTGAGTTATGCAATATAAATAGATTCTGTAACAACAACTTATAAAAGAATTAATCATTAAAAACACCATAGCTAAATTTCTTCAACTTATAATACTATTCAACAGTAATACTTCACCTAACAAATTTAAAGAAGGAGGACTAGATATATTATTAGCTCTAAATATAAATCAAAACAAACTTATAGAAGGCATAATTGAAATAAAACCCTTATTAATAAACAATCTTCGTCTTAAAGAACGTTCATATATTACATTAGCTAAAACAAATAATCCAGAAGAACACAACCCATGACCTAATATTAAAACAAAAGAACCTATTAATCCTGACAAATTAAAAGTAAACAAACCACAAATAACTAAACTTATATGAGCAACTGAAGAATAAGCAATTAAGCATTTAATATCAATTTGAAATAAACAAACAAAACTAGCAATTACAGAACCTAACAATCCTAAACTAATTATAATATAAGAAACATTAACATAATATATATACAAAAAAGATATAACACGAATTAAACCATAACCACCTAATTTTAATAAAACACCAGCTAAAATTATAGAACCAAAAACAGGAGCCTCAACATGAGCCCTGGGTAATCAAAAATGAAAAATAAACATAGGCATTTTAACCAAAAAAGCTAAAATCATAGACAAATGTAAATAAAAATTATTAGCTCCTTCTAAAAATCATCAAACAAATCTTCCTGATATAAAACCCAAATAAACAATACCTAATAAAAGGGGTAAAGAAGCAAAAAGCATATAAAACAATAAATAAAACCCCGCATTCAACCGCTCTGGTTGGTACCCTCAGCCAAAAATTAAAAACAAAGTAGGAATCAATGTAGCCTCAAAATAAACATAAAATATAAAAACATTTATAGTTAAAAAACACAAAACCAAAAATAAAAGTAAAGATATACAAATAATCAAAAAATCAGCTATGGTGTCTATATGTTTCATACAAAACCCTGAAAGAATTATTAAAACTACAATTCACAAAGACAAGTAAACCAAAAACCACGAAAAAATATCCCCACCAAAAGAGAAAGACAATGTACTAAAAAATCCTAAAAACCAATTTCTAAAAAATCTTACAAAAAATAAAATTAACAAACAACCTATTAATTCGCAATAAAGCCCTAATATAGCAATAGGAATCAAAAATAACAAAGATAAAATTATTATCATACTAACATGGACATGGTTATCAAATTATCGTTACCATGACAACGAATTAAACTAACCAAAAGAGAGAGACCCAAAACCCCCTCACAAACAGAAAAAGACAAAAAGACCAAAATAAAATAATAACCAGATCCTAACCCTGTAAAAAAAACAAAAAACATTAAAAACAAAATAAGAACCAAATATTCCAATCTTAACAATATCAAAAGCAAATGCCTATAAGCTCTACAATAAGCAAAAAGACCAGATATAAATAAATACAATAAAAATCCAAGAATAAGTTTTAATAGTTTAAAAAAAATAATGATCTTGTAAATCATAGATAGGGAAACCTTTAAAACTTCAACAAAAGACGAATTTATGTCTAACATTAATCTCCAAAACTAATATTTTCAATTAAACTACTTGTTGGCAGCTAGTAAACAAAATAAATAAAGAGAAATATAATTTCCCCCCATAGGAGGGAAAAAATGGGGGGATGTGAAATATATAAGTAAACAACAGCTTGTTTAGCTGCTAATTAGAAAATTCTAATAATAATTAATAAATAATTTAATGAAATAGGTAAAAAACTCTTTCACGTCATATATATAAGTTTATCGCCTATTCAAAATCCCAAAACCTTGATATAAAAAAACAAACGTCTTAAATCAGCCCTTCAAAATAAAATACAAGTGAATGTTCTTATAAAAAGAATATTTATATATTCAGATAAAAAAATAAATGCAAAACCCCCTCTTCTGTACTCAATATTAAACCCTGAAACTAATTCTGATTCTCCTTCAGCAAGGTCAAAAGGTGAACGATTTGTTTCGAACAAGCAAGAAATATACCAAAAACCAAAAACAGTAAAAAACAAAAAAAAATATTTTTTTGAAAAATTATAAAATCAAGAAAATCAAATCTCCCAAATAAAAAAAACAACCCCTAAAGCCAACAAGGCTATTCTTACTTCATAAGAAATGGTCTGAGCCACAGAACGAACTGCCCCTAATATAACATAATTAGAATTAAAATACCAGCCACTAATTATCACCCAATAAACCTCAACACCTAAGAAAACTAGTATAAACAACCCCTCACCAAAAAAAAAGAACAAACATCATAGCATAAAAGACAAAACTATTATAAAGATTGGATAACAATAATAAATAAGAAAATTAGACTGACAAGGATATCTCTGTTTTTTAAAAACTAACTTCAATCCATCAGAGAAAGGTTGTAACAGCCCCATCAAGCCCACTTTATGAGGACCTTTGCGAAGCTGAATATAGCCTAAAATCCTTCGTTCTAACAAAGTAACAAATGCTACAGCCTACAAAATACATAAAATCAAAAGCAGTGCTATAAGGAGAGCGGTTAGTTTCTGCATATAATATATGTTAAATGCTCCAATTATTTTTATATTTTTTGCATTTTCTTTTAAAATCTATTAGCAGCTAGTAAACAAAATAAATAAAGAGAAATATAATTTCCCCCCCATAGGAGGGAAAAAATGGGGGGATGTGAAATATATAAGTAAACAACAGCTTGTTTAGCTGCTAACTTTAAGCAAGTGGTTTTAAAACCCACAGATAGGACATAAAACCTTTAAAGTTTAAGTATAAAGGGGTTAAAGCCTTACTAATTATTATTATAATTATTATAATGTTAATTTCAATCTACTTTATTAAATCAAAACACCCTTTAAGAATGGGAATTACTTTAATCTTTCAATCTATCTGTATTAGAATACTAACTGGAATAATCAGCTCATTTCTATTTTCTTATATCATAATAATAATTATATTAAGAGGGATATTAGTTTTATTTATATACATATCAAATGTGGCCTCTAATGAAAAATTCTATATAACAAGCAAAAACTCATTATTAATTTTATTAATTCCACTTCTCATAATAAAACAAGACTCAATTATATACAATTTACATAATTATAAAACTAATTCCACAATAAAATATGATATTTCCACCTCCTTAAGAAAGCTGTTTTCATCAGAAACAGTACCTTTAATTATAATAATAGTTTTATATTTATTCTTCACTATAATTGTTATTTCATCAATTGTAAATATTCATGAAGGGCCAATACGCTCGAAAAGATAATGAATATATCAACACGTAAAACTAACCCTTTAATTAAAACATTAAATAATTTACTTATTGATCTCCCATGTCCTACAAGAATCTCCAATTGATGAAATTTTGGATCCTTACTAAGAATATGTTTGTTAATCCAATTATTAACAGGAATCTTTTTAGCCATACATTATACAGCTAACATTGAATTAGCCTTCAACAGTGTAATTCACATTATACGTAATGTAAATAATGGTTGAATAATACGAAGTATACATGCTAACGGCGCCTCATTCTTTTTTATTTGTATATATATACATGTAGGACGAGGAATTTACTATAATTCTTATCAACTAACTAACACTTGAATAGTAGGAGTAATAATGTTATTACTAACAATAGCAACAGCCTTCCTAGGTTATGTTTTACCATGAGGACAAATGTCCCTGTGGGGGGCAACAGTAATCACAAACCTACTTTCTGTTATTCCATATGTAGGGAACAATATTATTCTATGATTATGGGGAGGATTTTCTATTGAAAATGCCACATTAACACGATTTTTCGCTATACATTTCCTTATACCATTCATAATTACAGCTTTAGTGATAATTCATTTATTATACTTGCACCAAACAGGCTCTAATAACCCGCTAGGGGTAGATAGTAATACTGATAAAATTCCATTTCACCCATATTTTTCTGTTAAAGATACAATAAGATGTATAATAATACTATTGTTTTTTATATTAATAAACACTATAGAACCTCAGCTTCTAGGAGATCCAGAAAACTATATTCCAGCAAATCCATTAGTAACTCCTGTTCACATCCAACCAGAATGATATTTTCTATTTGCATACGCAATTCTACGATCTATCCCTAATAAAATAGGAGGTGTAATCGCCATATTAGCAGCAATCAGAATACTAATAATTTTACCTTTGCTAAATAAGCCCAATCTTCCTAATTCTAAATATTATCCCTTAAGTAAAATGTTATTTTGATTTTTTTGTTTTACTTGATTACTATTAACATGAATTGGCGCTAAACCAGCCGAAGAGCCATACATCTTTACAGGCCAAGCCCTATCAACTATGTATTTTATATACTTTATTTTGTCCCCCCTAAGATCAAAATTTTGAGATAAAATAACTCAATAGCCAAATAGCTTAGACTTAAAGCATGTATTTTGAAAATACAAGACAGAAAATAAAAATTTCATTGGCTTGTTTAGCTGCTAATTAGAAAATTCTAATAATAATTAATAAATAATTTAATGAAATAGGTAAAAAACTCTTTCACGTCATATATATAGTTAATTTTATTTTTACKGAAMAGTAGCTCGGCACGCAAGCGGCGTATTTAGCCAAAGGTCGTGGGTTCGAATCCCGCTCGTGACACTGACTTTTTTATATCAACCAATACCTTACATAAAGATTAATTAATTGAAAGATGTTATTTGATCAGCCGGACCATGAAATCTAATGAAATTAATTTTAATCCAACATCGAGGTCGCAAACCTCGCCATCAATAAGAACTCTCCAACAAGATTACGCTGTTATCCCTTAAGTAACTGAAACATAATCAGCACAAAGCTGGATCAAATAAACATTAATTAATGATAAAAAATAAAGTTAAATAAATTTACCGATCTCCCCAACAAAATTTACTACAGTAAGCATAAAATAAAAACCTGTAAATTTATACTTGTACAATAAATAAAGTTTTAAAGGGTCTTATCTTCTACTGAAGACATGTCTGCTTTTTTCACAGAAAAATAAAGTTAATTAATATTTATATTATTATTATTATTATTAATTAAATAAAGAAAGTTAGCCCCTCGTATGACCCTGGAGATATTTTACATATTTTAATGGAAGTAGCGAGGACAGTCAGGTCAAAGTGGACGGAAAACGTTGACAAGATGGTTTTACAGATTTTGGAATATTCACTGAAAGATCCTAAATTAATTTCTATATTTTTTCTTTTCAGACATTCTTTCGATCCACTCTCATATTCAAGTAGAGCCAGATATTTAACTAAACATACCTGAGCGACAATTAAGGAAAGTTGGCGATTTACAAGGATAACTTTACGGTAATTTCTCGTTTATGAAATTAACAAACATATATCTTAAATTTTTCAGGCTTGTGGTTGATAAAGCGAGCTGGCAATATTTAAAGAAAAAATATGTAAAAACGACATACCCGTGAAACGGCGGTATACAAAAGGCCTGCTAGATTGTCAACCGTAATATGAAGTATCCCAAGGACCCGTTATCAGGAAATGGCATCACTCGAGGCTTTTGCAGTTGGTATTCTTGTGTTCTCATAGCGGATCATTCTCCACACCTTTAACAACACGCTCGCAAACACGAGGATTGAAAAGGACCGGGAACGAAACGGGTATTTTGTAGTTAGATTGAATCTGAGGGTGTTGTCGTCCCAGGATTGAATAAGTTCGGCTGACTAGTTGCTACATGTACATAGACATAATGTTATTGGGATCTTCTCCGAAAAGTGGGGGGTGAAATTGTTTATTTATCATGGCATGTCAGCAACCATGAAAGGTCGTAACGAACAGGATGCACGGATTTGCTCTTCAGAAAAAAAAGTCTATTTATATTCTGACCTAACGACGAAGGCTGTTGGTAGCTCACTTTAGCAAATACACACTTGCAAATTTCAATGAACTATAGTAACTTCATAATGAAACCTTCACAATAGGTAAAAAGGAGAATACGTCAGCGTTAGTTGTTGATTTGTAACAACAACCTCCATAATAATATATATCTCATAATTTCGGGATGTATTAATATATTAAAATAATTTTGATAAACCCTGATACAAAAGGTACTCCAAATAAAGGATTCTTTTCAGCAATGAAGAGATTTTCCTTCACAGTACTAATAAAATATAATTTATAAAAATGCTATTCAATAAACTTTCTACTAAGAATATAATTATTTTTTGGAAAAAAAGGAAAAAAGAATTAATTATAAATCAATTATTTCAAATTAAACTGATTCAAACAGTTATACCATCGATGTAAATGATGGAACTACTCAGTAGTTATAATTTGTATAATCAAGATTTACTTTCCAGTAAATCTACTTTGTTACGACTTATCTTGAATCCAAGAGCGACGGGCGATGTGTGCATAACTCAGAGCTTAAATCATAATTAATAAATATTAATTATTACTACCAAATCCTTATTCATTATAAATTTTCCATTAAAAAATCCTAAATTAATAATAAAGTAACCCACCACTAGCTTCTTTATTGCTGCACCTTGACCTGATATAGTTCTCATAAAGAAAGTAGAAAATAAACCTTATAATACATTCAATAACAGAGGTATACAAGCTTAAAAAAAGTAAAATTCCTCGTGGATCATCGATTAAAGAGCAGGTTCCTCTGGATAGACTAAGTTACCGCCAAATTCTTTTAATTTCAAGAGCATAACTAATACTACTAAGGTAAACTAAAATTACAAATTGAATAATAGGGTATCTAATCCTAGTTTT